GGAGTTTGGGGGTCGCCTCTCAGACCAGGAGTACACTCAATGGGACAAACACTCCACAGCAACTCTGCACACAGAGTTCTGTAGAAACACTCTCCATGTGCAGGACTGAATTAGGCTAATACCCACTGCAAATCAGCATACAGAAGAGAGCAATACAATATTGGTTAGAACTGAATTCGTATCACCACAAGGCCCTGCTGAGCCCAGAGAAGAGCCCCCTGAGCCAGCTGGTCCTGAGGCTCCCCGACACCAGCCAGCCTCAGGACAACACAGCTACAGCACAGGACACACAACACCGCCTCAGACACTGGGACAACACGCTCCGAATTCAAGAAGGAGAGGAGGAGGAACACAGAACGGGCAGGAAAGCTTGGGAGGGGAAAACTGAAGGGGGGAGGAATCGAGGAAGCTGCAGTCGAAAGGCAAGACATAGAAAGAAAGATAACTTTTGCAAAAGTCTCATTTATATCTCAAGAGTTTTGATACAACGATCAACATAAATACACAAAACCTGTAGCTGCTGCCGTACAGTACTGAGCACCTTCACTGAGGATGGGCGGGTAACACAACACTGCGCGGTCACTCAGTGATGCCGGACACACGGGCTCGTGACCCAACGGGATTCCTCAATCAGACCCCGTCCGGCACGAGAGCGACCCCTGCAGTCTGCTGCCACCTGGTGTCGGCGGGCGGGACTGCAGGTCACTGTGACCAGAGAGCTGCAGGCAAACCAGTAAAGAAACCAGACTGGACCCCCCTCTGTGGGAAGTGGGTGGCGGCAGGGGGTTTATTCATAAATAAATTCACTTTAGCTGCAGATTTCACGTTTACGACAACCCGGAGAATTAAAAAAAAAACACGAAAAATCCGAACAGCGGGACGTTTCTCCCAGTTCCAGAGCCGTCCAGTGTCCCTTTAGTAGGGTTTCGGGTCACAAGGTCACAAGGTCGTTGCCGTGACCACCAGTCAGGGCTTTAGAGCGCCAGAGACGTCCCGGCTCTCCCGAAGTGCCCTTCCTGTCGGCCTGCCCTTCAGTACAGAGCCTCACCGCCCCCCGGCGCGAGACTCATCTCCCTCGGGGCAGCGCACACACCGCCATCTCACGCCAACACCACCCGAGTGGCTTTCAGTATTAACGACCCACTCCACACAGCCGGGTCGCTCCGGGACGAGCCTCTGCCACACACCCACAACGCTCTGCGTGTCCGCGGTCAGACCCGGCTGGCACAGCGCCGACACCAAGCACCCAGCAGACCGGCTGTCCTCCCGGTCCGACAGGTCCGGACCAGAACCCCCGGACCGGCTGTCCTCCCGGTCCGGACCAGAACCGCCGGGCCAGCCGTCCTTCTGGTCCCAGCCTGTGACTGTGGCTCTGCTCCCGGGGTGTGCGTGGCCCGGCCCTGCCCGGCCCGGCGAGCTATGTCAGCAGCGCCGCGTGGAGGAGGGGTACTTGGCCTTCAGCCCCTCCTTGAAGCGGCGGAACAGGACCCGGTTCTGCCGGTTCTCCTCCTCCTTCTGGGCGTGGAACTCCCCCGCCACCTTGAACCCGCGGTGGACCAGGAAGGCCGAGCTGAGCACCGAGAAGCGATACCCAGCAACATGGAGCTCACAGGCCTGGGGCAGAGAGAGGGGAGAGACTGAGAGAGGAGGAGAGAGGAGAGGGAGGGAGGAGAGAGACAGAGAGGAGGGGAGGAGAAAGAGGGAGGAGACAGACAGAGAGAGGAGGAGAGAGGGAGGAGACAGACTGAGAGAGGAAGAGAGAGGGAGGAGACAGACTGAGAGAGGGAGGAGACAGACAGAGAGGGAGGAGACAGACAGAGAGGGAGGAGAGAGACTGAGAGAGGAGGGGAGAGGGAGGAGACAGACTGAGAGAGGAGGGGAGAGGGAGGAGACAGACTGAGAGGGAGGAGACAGACTGAGAGGGAGGAGACAGACTGAGAGGGAGGAGAGAGGAGAGAGACAGAGAGGGAAGAGGGAGGAGAGACTGAGAGAGGGAGGAGAGAGACAGAGAGGAGGGGAGAGAGGAGAGAGAGGGAGGAGACAAACAGAGAGAGGAGGAGAGAGGGAGGAGAGAGACTGAGAGAGGAGGGGAGGAGAGAGAGGGAGGAGAGAGACTGAGAGAGGAGGGGAGAGGGAGGAGACAGACTGAGAGAGGAGGAGAGAGGGAGGAGAGAGACTGAGAGAGGAGGAGACAGACAGAGAGGGAGGAGAGAGACAGAGAGAGGAGGGGAGAGGGAGGAGACAGACTGAGAGAGGAGGGGAGAGGGAGGAGAGAGACAGAGAGGAGGGGAGAGGGAGGAGACAGACAGAGAGGAGGGGAGAGGGAGGAGACAGACAGAGAGGAGGGGAGAGGGAGGAGACAGACAGAGAGGGAAGAGGGAGGAGAGACTGAGAGAGGGAGGAGAGAGACTGAGAGAGGAGGGGAGAGGGAGGGGAGAGGGAGGAGACAGACAGAGAGGAGGAGAGAGGGGGAGGAGGGAGGGAGGGGAGAGAGGAGAGACAGAGAGGAGGGGAGAGGAGAGAGAGGGAAGAGACAGACAGAGAGGAGGAGAGAGAGGGAGGGGAGAGGAGGGGAGAGGAGAGGGGGAGGAGGGAGGGAGGGGAGAGAGGAGAGACTGAGAGAGGAGGGGAGAGGGAGGAGAGACAGACAGAGAGGAGGGGAGAGGAGAGAGGAGAGGGAGGAGACAGACAGAGAGGGAGGAGACAGGGAGGGGAGAGGGAGGAGACAGGGAGGGGAGGGGGGAGGTGACAGAGGGAGGAGACAGGGAGGGGAGGGGAGAGGGGAGAGGGGGACACAGGCTCTACCTGGCTGATGCGGTTGAAGCCGTACTGCCGGAAGCTCTCGTCGAAGGGCGGCAGGCCGCGCGCCCCGATGTAGAAGGGCTCCCAGGGGTCCGTCCAGGCCAGCGTGTAGGCCACCTCCAGCTCGGCGCCGGCCCCCCGCCCGCGCCAGTTCACCCACTGCGAGTAGTTGGTGGGCGCCTGGCACCTCGGGCACAGCTCCTCGTAGAAGGGGCGCACCTCGCCCACCTGGTACAGCTGCAGCAGCTCGGCCTTGGCGGCGGGCACCCGGCGGGCGTGGCGGATCTCGAAGGCGGGCACCACGAAGACCTCGCGGGGGGCGGGGCGCCGGCGCCGCAGCAGGCCCAGGAAGAGGCGGGGCAGGTCGGCGCTGGGCACCATGTCCACGTCGGCCACCAGCACGTACGGGGCGCCCTCCTCGGCGGCGCCGCGGGCCACGTTGCGCAGCAGGTTGTTGGGGTACGACACGTTGCCCCCCAGCGCGTAGTTCCGCAGGCGCCCCCGCTGGGCCTCCAGGCGCGCCCACACGCCCCCGCAGTCCCCCAGGCCCGCGAACGGCGCCCTGTCCTCGGCGGGGAAGCTGGCCGCCTCCCCGGACGGGCACACCAGGTGGAGGTCGACCAGCGCCCGCACGCCGGGGCAGAAGACGCTCAGGGCGTAGGCCAGCGCCGTGGCCAGCCTGGCGTCGGCGCCGTGGGCGAAGACGGCCACGGACAGCGGGGCCTGCCAGCGCTCCAGCAGCGGGCCCAGCTGGTGCAGGTTGTTGATGGACGTGTGGGTGGCCAGCGCCAGGGCCGGAGCCTCGGGCCGCCGGCCGGCCGAGAAGTCGCTCTGCAGCAGGTTCTTGTAGACGCGGTACTGGCCGCTGCCGTCGAAGATGCCGCCGGTGGCCAGCGAGAACTTGAGGCGCTCCTTGTGCGCGTCCCTCTGGGCCGGCCGGGCGCCCCGCCTCGCCGCCGCCCCGAACAGCTCCGAGTAGCGGTAGCGCTGCTGCCGGCCGTGCAGGCGGGACAGGAAGGACAGGTAGAGCAGCTGCAGGAGCGCCACGGCGGCCAGGGCGCCCAGGGCCATCTTGAACAGCGAGCAGTTCTTGGGGAGATGCATTTCCCCAGCCCCCAGCCCCCAGCCCCCTTGCAGAGCTCACGCCTTCATCGCCCCCTGCTCTCCTCTCCTCTCCTCTCCTCTCCCCCGCGGGCTTGTCCTCCCTGGGCTGTGCAGGGGCTCACCGGCTCGGCGTCCCTATGCGCTGACCAGCCTCTCCCTCCTCAAGCCCCCGGCCGCATCGGAGATCCGTGCAGAGAGCCTGCAGGGTCGCACCAAAACATTGCGGAGCCGCGGCTGCGCTCTGCTGCCGCCCGTAACACCTCGTATATACGCGCACACTGACAT